TGGTTGATTTTGCTATTCTCCAATTCAAGGCGCTTTTCTCTCTCGACATACTTTGAGAAGTGAGAACCGATTTTTATTATATTTTAGTGGCAAACTAGGGGATGAATCCGGATTTGCGCACTACCCGGTAACCGATTTCAATAAAACATGGTAATTATATGTAATTCCACGTACTTTTGAGGTCGGTTTTTTTAGTACTCTGTTCTGAGATTATTACGACCCATGTCGCTACCCCCAGTTCAAAAAATACGTTCAGTACGGTTGACGATCGTCGAAGGAATGGTTACCAGAACCGAGGCAGTGAGACGCCTTGCCGCACGAAATCGCATCGCAGCAATTCGCGTCATAGTTTCCTTTTGCCGATTTGCCGATTGCCGATTCGCACTTTTGTGTTTCGGCCTTAAGACGCCGCTGCCGCAACGGATCGTGTGACTCGGCTCTTAATGGTAATGTTTACAGCGACAGTAACAAGCGATCGTGTAAAATAGTGGTATGGCAAATTGTAGCACTTTTCGTGACTACTACATTTTACGCACACTGAAAAATATTGACTTTAATCAAGTTGACTAAGATGATTAAATTACTTACTTAAAATTATTGCTGTAATCATTACACTCGATAGGCTCTGCAGATACCGAAAATATACCAATTGCGCGGAAATGTTTGCATTACTTTAAAAAAAACCTACGGAGTACCATTTATTCAGCGAATCCATAGAATAAATATGGATGAAGGACGATTTACAGGTCTAGTTAGTAAACTTGTGACTGATTTTCAATTATTGAAGTATGAAGGAACGAATGACAAGAATTTTAAAGTGTCTACTTACACTTACCATCACTTACTTAATTTCTATAGTATATTTTGTAATAGATAACATTTAATGGATAGCATTTAATTTTTGTCTTCGAACAATTCTTTCAGACTGTAACAGCACTTGTTCGTATCCTAATAAATGTGCTAATAAATTTATCTTATATTTGATAAAAACTGTTTAAATATATAAACATGGATAATATTGATAAGGATTAATTTGTAATTGTATTCCTTTTAACTTTAATAAATACATAAATTCTATAATATAGCAGATATTTTGTTTGAGTAATTAATTACTCGAGACGTGACGAATCAGAGACGCTTTCTTACGAGCGTTTCTTACGAAAAGCCGTACCTAATTCTTCCCCTAGTGGACGTACTAAATATGGGTTTTTAATGGTTTAAACTTATACGGTAGATGAAAAGGCGTATCTAATTCGTCGTTTAGAGGGGACATACTGGGTACGGTATTTCAGTTGTTTAACCCCTTAGAAAAGCGTACCTACCTCGTCTCTCCTTGGTGGTCGTAGTGTATACGGAAAGCCATATACGCTAGCGGGAACGGGGATTGCCTGACTCGTAAAATACAAGGTCTCGTTGCACTCTGCCTTGTAACTTACTTGTCGTGAGTGATCCTTTACTTCCAAGTCTCTGCAATAATGTACTATTTGTAATCGAATACTATACCATTTTTATACAGTGTTAATAAATTTTTAATCTTCTTCAGAGTCAAGAAGCGACAGCTAAGATAGCCTCCATGGTGCTTTTGATTTTTGCACACCATCAGGACTGGCAAGTATGTGTTACCTCAAAACATTTCTCTGTAGCTTAACTTGTGAAGTAGGTCATGGTCATAAATCTGAAATCACTTGTAACTGCGGTGGAATTCCTTGTGAAAGAGCTCGTCCAGGGAAGACTGCCACCATACTGTTTTCTGCTGTCAAGCAGTAATGTGAGCGTTACTGTGTTCCGGTTTTGAAAAGAAAATGTGCTGGTGAAACTATAGACACTTGACCCTTGTCTACTTCAAGTCTCAGAGTGACGGGTACAGTGGCAGTGCCCCTCAAGTCTTTGTGATTTAAAGCTCTGAGTGGTACTACAACTGTTATGGACAGGCGTGCCGCTTACCACCAGACGCACGACTTGTTCATCCCGTTACCAAGATATGATAAAAAAAATAGTTGTATGTTTTTTTATCAACTTATGGAAAGCGAACACGTGGACGAGGTTGGTCACAGCTTAGAAGATTCCAATAGAAAAGATTACCTTAATTTTTCAGGATAAAGTGTACAAAGAAATTCAAGATATTCTTGGGTCAAACGCAGATTACGTATCAGACGAAGATCTCAAGAAAATGACGAATTTAGACATGGTTTACAAGGAAGCTGTCAGGTATATGCCTATAGGAGCTTTGATCCAGAGATCCATAGAAGAAGAAGTTACTGTAAATGATGGTAAGATTGAAATGAGCGCAAAAATTTTAACATGGAATCCATGGTACCATAACCGTGCTAGGTTTTTAAAGATAGTTTCTTGTTTTAATAAATAAATAATAATAATTAATCTATATATAGTCCCCCTGCTGGGCACATGCCTTCTTTCACGATGAGAGGACATGGGCTATAGTTCCCAGTAGGGTCCAATGCCGTGGAACTTCATACACATCATTAAATTGCTTTGGAGATGTGTGCAGCTTTCCTCGCGATGTTTTCTTTTATCGAAAAACATGATAAATTTCAAAGTGAAGGCATATAAATTCCAAAAAAACTCAGAGGTGAGGCATGCCTGGACGACCGCACCATCCTCTCCTTGAAAAGTAATTGGTCACTCCACTCTTGACTACAAGTAGCAGTAGAGCTTCTTGTGAAAGAGTTCGTCCAGGGAAGTACTGCCACCTTACCTATTTCTGCCGCCAAGCAGTAATGTAAACATTAATGTGTATCGGTTTTGAAGGGTAAGGGTGCTGGTGAAATTACAGGCACATGAGACTTATCAACATATGTCTCAGGGTGACAGGCGCAGTGGCGGTACCCTTCAGATCTTTGCGATTTATAGCTCTGAGTGGCACTGCAACTGTTATGGACAGGAGTGTAACTTACACGACTTGTTCGTCCCGTCACTTGAAATTATAAAATAAAACTTTTTCCTAAGGTCTTGTTATTAGAGTTATAGTGTCAAAATTTCGTCATGGGATTTCCGATTGCGTTGTTCCATCAAATATGATAATATTCAAAAGTACAGACGGCAGTACATCAACCTACACATTGACGGAACTTGTTCCGTTGCACTGGAGTATTCAATCAAAAGTGTATAGCTTGGTGTACTGTTAACTGTACATAGATATCGTTGATAATATTGTTTTTTTTTAGGCGAGTACGTTCTACCAAAAGGAGCATCCTTATTATTACCAATCCACCTAATACATCGTGATCCGCAGTACTGGCATGAGCCGAATAAGATTAAACCAGAAAGGTTCTCGCCCGAAAACGCAAAAAACCGAGACCCCAATGTATTCTTGCCTTTTAGTTTGGGTGCTATGGATTGTATCGGTGAGTATTCTTAGACACGGCGATTTTCAGCAGCGAGGCAAACGCACGTTCGGGAAACGCGCGATTGCATCGCTACAGTTGCGATTTATAGGCGATTGAATCGATGCAAACGCGCGATTGCATCGAAGCAGACGCGCGTGTGCAATGATGTAATCGCTAATAAATCACAAAGACGCGCGTGTGTGTAAAAGTAGATTATTAGAGACTGCATCGCGTTTGTATCCGCTGTTAGATGTAACCGCTCTTAAACTAACGGTAATAAAGCTGTATAAAATACATAAAAGGGTTTTCTGGTCGGTACATAAAAGTTTTTAGCGGCCATTCGGCGGTTATTGAGGCTGCTTTTCTCAAATCTATTGTTTATTTTTCAATCAACAAAGACAATAATTATCATGGCAAGTTACAGCGTCGAGGAACACGTACAAATGATAAAGACGTATTATCAAAATAGGTGTTCTGTACAGATACAGTAAGCAAGAATTACCGCTCATAACGTTGATGCAAAAAGATGCGAGTTAATTTACAATTTTTTGATGTTTTAGGGCGAGTGTACGCTGAATCTTTGGTAAAGCTGATAGCTGTACAAGTCCTACGACGTGTGGAGTTGGAAGCAGATGGAAACATCGAAGACCTGCAATTACATGTCGCCATATCCGTCAGATTTACTAAGGGCTATAATTTGAGGGTTCGACCCCGTACCAAGGGTGTGTGAGCTTTAAAATGGCAAGAAAGTACGGGGTATGAACTATAGGTACATTATAATATCTAATTGTAATTAGTGATTTAAATAAAACTAAACTAGTACTATAATTGAATAAATTTTTTCGACAATTTGAAGTTGACTTTATTCAGTTAACCCTTCGTGTGACATATTCCCGTTCCGGGACGTCAGTCAAAATTAGGTCCACCTGGCAGGGACTCTAGGAGGGTACTTATTTCTAGTTTTCGCTGTTTAGACAGTAATTTTACTGTTTTTTTTACATGAAACCTAAGGACATATACAATATTTTTGAAATCACAATGTGTTAAGCGAACAGATTGCATTGAAGAAAACCCATTTTTGGAGTAAAAATAAAAGTTACGTTGTAAATCAAAAGTAAAGTGTTAAGTTATATAGTCGGTGTAAAGCCCCCAGAATTATTAACCATAACTATTATCTGTTCTAATTTGTGTTTTATTTACATTATATAATACTTCTATAAAATACATAAATATAGTTAGATTCCATCCAATTTTTTTTTACAGCAGAAGCTTTACAAAATGCTTGTATGACATATTTAATTATTATATTTTTGAGAACAATACGACTGAGCAACTGCAGTCGCCTCGCTTTATATTGTCGCTTTAGTACAAGTTAAAACAGTGTCAACAATCAATTTTTAAACAGAACGCATAGATAATGTCCCAGAGTGGGAGCGTGCCAGACGCGAGGTTTTTTCTAGCGTCCCGGAGCGAGAATTTCGCAATAATTCGGAATTGCGAAAAATGGCGGTGCCAGACGAAAGGTTAATAAAAAAACTTTCTGTAAAACAAAATTCAACGTAGCTACAAACCATTTTACTATGATAAATTTTATAATCACATAATGCTTTTAAAAATTCTTTGTTCTTAGTTAAGAGTTTATTAATGTTGACAAATTTTTAGAGCATTATTTGTTCTTAGTTATATAACGCATAAAAGAGAATAAAAAATAAAATTATTATAATGATAGTTTACATTCTAGTCAGGATCACCCCATTGAGATAGATAAGTATTCATGCCTATTTTACGCAACACAAGCCAAAAGAAATAAGTCTACACGCTTACAACATGATAATAAGTGCACCTTTGTTCGTTGTGTTTGTCAGTCAGGTAAAGCAAAACAAGCAAAAATTGTCTCTTATAGTTTTAGTCTTCTGACGTGTTCTGAACGATGCATAGATGTGTGAAGTGTTTTGTATTATATTGAACGCATAAAACACACAACTATAATACAAATGCAATTTCAATAGAGATTTTAGAAAATTTCAAAAAAAACACATATTATATCCTATATTAATTTACAGGTTTCAAAAAAGTAATAACACTGACATGTTAATTCATTAACTATGATTAAAATTCATACATTCATATATACTACCAAAAACTTGTTATCGACACACCTCATCTCTAGTAAATGCAGTGTAATGAAGTAACCTTTGCACGTTGTCTTAAAAAATTAATGGATTTTTGAAAAAAAAAAGTGTTCGCTAATTTTTCACAAATAAACATTGATTTGGTGTTATTTTCACTTTAGTTTAATGTATTTACTTAAACAAAGCAAGGCTTATAAAAACATTTTATGCAATACGTCAATTAGTGCATGTCGTTACAAGGTTATATTGTGTAGATTTTCATTATGGATAACGGCCATTTAAAAGCGAGACTTATGAAAAAATTTTATGAAATACCTTAATTAGTGCGCATCGCTACAAGGTTATATTGTGTAGATTTTCATGAACTGTCACAGGGATCATCGTAGATTATTTTTAGTTTATATTATAGTATAGCGCTTTCAATGTCAAGAGACATTTTTTCGCTATACTTACAACACGTCAACAAACTAATCAAGTACCTACATAATTTAGCGACGTATGTAAATAATTAATTCGTATTAGGAATCCAAAGTTAGGGCGCTGAACAAAGATGGTTGATGATTACTGCATCAACGAGAATCTAACTATGAAATAAGAAGATATCATTTTTTGTTCCTCTCCCTCGTGAATCACTGCCCCGTACGTTTTTCAAATAAGCAAATTCATACCATATAGTATATATTGGAGTTCGTGTGTCTGTGTACTTAAAAATTGTGCACACTGTATTAAATGGACGTGACAAAGGCCAAGGAGAAATAGAGTAACAACCAAAACACGTTTGACACTATTATTTTTACGGATGGGTTTCACCTTTGTACAATGGACAGTTCATTTTTATTGTATAACATATTTAACTAGGCGGTTTGTTGTAGACAGTACACAGTACTAGTAGAAGGAAGTGTTCGCAACGTGAAAATTGCATTTATTTTGTCATCACCACGTTCAATTTTTGATTTTAATTTTGGTTTTTTAAATTAATCCTGTGATTGTTATTTGAAGAAAGTATTAATTAAAGGTATGTTATGTATATTATGTCGAATCCTTAGTATAATAACAAGGCCATGTCTGCAAAATAACTTTTTAGAGAAAAGTTGAACCTTTGAAATTTGTCGAAAACTTTTTATGCTTGAATGGGAGCAATATAGAATTTCACATAAATATTATACTAGCGTATTTTTTTTCAGAATTGCTAAAAAACCAATTACTTATTTCCCATGACAGTTAATTAAAATTTATGTTTATATGTAAATTTATTACAGACATCTAAACAATTTCCTGCTTACCAAATGTATATAAAAATTAAAGGGAAAAAATAATTTCATTCGTTTGAGACTTTTTGTTTAGAACGAGCTCACAAAAAATTTTCTCATTTCGTATTAAGTAGATATCTTTTAATAGTTTCTCACAATATTCGACGATTATATTCATGTGTAGAGTTTCAAATTTTACGTTCAGCAATAGTTTTCATCTTGAATTTCGCATATTTTGAGTCACAACACTATTGTAATAGCAGTGCGATAATAATACAAAATTTCGATACCTATTGTTCAGGATATAAACACTACCACTACTGGCGAACCATACGCCAACTCTATTTATTAGCTATCGTCTCTTACTTTTGTAAACAGCCATATTTAAAAAAAAATAATATTATCCTCCCTGAATTTTGTAAAAAAAAATAAAGAAACAAAAAATGAAATTCGGAAAAATAAAACAAAAATACGAATTTTGTGAAAAAAACAGAAAACAAAATAAAAACAGAACAGATCCAAAAATTAAGTTGGCGTGTTTTTTTTTTGTCATTGGAGGTTTGGATTTGTTTCATGCAGTTCGTGTTATTTTTATGACTTTCATGAGATAAAAGCACTTTTACCTTATGATGAATGTGGCTTTGTATACCAACGGTAACGTATTTCTGTTTTTTCAAAATTTGAGACTAACTAAGGACTTCTATAACTTTAATATTGATTTAATGAACATCATTTTGTTGTGATTATTATTACAAAAATCGAACATAGAAAAATTTCATCGACCCAATGGGACTTGAACCTACGACCACGCAGCGTAGCGCTGCTCTATACCAACTGAGCTACAGGTCAAGTTGTCGAGTTGTCGAAATTCTCCCTTATGTTTTTGTTACAGATCTGTGTACTGATTTTCGGCATTCAGCGCTGCTAGTGACATCTAGTTAGAGATTTTAGAACCGTTTCACCACTGCCGGTACCCTTACAGGTCCCTCAATCTGAAGTTATTGTCGCCTGTTGATGAAATGTATTGAGTTTATTTTTTGTGTTAAGTGTTACTCACTAGTTTTGTTATGATACACAAAAAAATCTCAATAATAAATCATGATGTTCTACCACACCCCGGACACTCCATACAACAGTCGAAAATTATTTACCTACTCTTACCACATGCAGCAAGGCGCTATTTGCCCACGCGTAAATGTTGCGTGAAGTGGCAGGGTTACCAGTAACTTTCTCGCTCTATTACGTTACGTGGTCAGAGCGGCAACATAGCGAAAATTCTAACGCGAATCTGTTATCTATGATTCTATTAACAGAATCCTAATAATTATACATGTCTCTTAGGTATTTATATCGATATATTATTATATTTTTCATTAATTCACTAACTGGAGTAATATTGAAGATTTATTTAAAAAATATATTAAAAGCACTTAAAATGTTATATTTCGATGTACATGTACAAGTAGTAACGTAAAATGATGTTTTATAATAACGTACAAATTTCATAATGGATAAATGAAAACTATATTTAAATATCAAAGCCGTCTTCGTGCGGAAACGGCTCGCCGGCAGCCTTGTTGTCGTTCAGCCAATGTAACCCGCAATATGTGGAGCGTGGTGCGGTATCTAAAACTAGGGAGGGGCGGAGGGTGTCCGTTTTCTTATTCTTTATTCTCTGGTTCTACTCCCATCATTTAAAATCAATATTAATTTTTGGTAGCTGTAAAGGTACTTGGTCCTCAAGTATGCTAATTTTAAATCATCTCAGTTGTAGTAGTAAGTGTGTGTTAATGGCAGGATTTTGTACGTTTGGCAGCATTGCCGTAGCATTTTTCACATTGTCAATGGTGTAGAGTATTTATATTATACATCTTTAATTCGAAGACTAAATGCTGTTTAAACGAGATTTTAGTAGCAGTAAAAGCTCCTTGTAAAAGAGTTCGTCCAGAGAAGTACTGCTACCTTACCTATTTCTGCCGCCAAGCAATAGTATGAGCATTACTGTGTTCCGGTTTTAAAGGGTACCGGTGCTGGTGAAATTACAGGCACATGGGACTCGTAAACTTATGACTCAGGGTGTCGGGCGCGATGGCAGTGCCCCTCAGATCTTTGTGATTTAAAGCTCTGAGTGGCACTGTAACTGTTGTAAATGTTATTAGCTGTCATCGTTTTGAAGGCTGGATTTTAGGTTGTTTATCGTAGGACAGTACTGATACGTGTTATTTAAACATCTTTATTTAAATATTGTATATTTAGTACTATTTTAAATAGGTAGTTCGAAATGTTGTTCATTCGTCTCACGTCTATTTGATTACATATAGCATTGTATATGTAATTAAATAGACGTTAGACGTTAATACTTTATTTATTTAGAATTCTGTAACAGGTTGATCGAAATGATTTGGACAACAGTCTTTATTCTGGGACTTATAACAGTCATCTGGCGTTTATGGCGATATAAAAACAAACACCTTCTGGACATAGCCAGGAAAATACCTGGTCCGCCAGCACTTCCTGGCCTTGGTAATGCTCTGCTGTTCATGTGCCAGCCTGAAGGTATGCGCTTCTCAATAATAAAAATTGTTAACATTTTATGGTTAAAATTTAAGAACTATAATATAATCCAACGATATCTATGTACAGTCAAGAGCACGTTAAGCTTTGAACACTTTGTACTTTGAACCGTTCCGCGTTCTTATCATAAGCAGCATAGAGTTGGATTTAAATCCTATGTGTCAAGCTTTTCTGTTTTTTTTTTAATCTTTATTTATTTAGGGACTTTGATCGTTATTGAACATATCAACCCCATTAGAAAAACAATACCTCAAGAAAACACTTAATAAAATCCAGACTGATAAATAAAAATTCCGGTTTCTATTCTCACTCTTTCACTGTTCATGCGGTCAGACTTTGGAATGCACTTCCTATTACTGTTCACGAAAGTAAATCGTTAGCTATTTTTAAAGTAAGAGTTAAAGAGCATTATTTATCTACTATTACATCCATATCTTAGGTATTATATTATAAAATGTATCTAAATATTTAAATAATTTATAACAATTTAATATTATTATATATTTTTTTCTTGTTTTGTTGTGCACATACGCCCGTTCTTTTAGTTATAGTGTCCTGTATTTAGGTCTGCAGGAAGAAATTTGTATTAGAAATAAGCAGAACCTTTTGTTTTTAATTTCCCCTGTGTTCTTTGTGACTTGTTGTATTTTTCCTGTACAATAAACTATTAAATAAATAAATAAAATACTACCTAACCAAACATGTATACAAAATCTCGGTGACACTACATGTTGGCTCCGATAAAACAGAGCTTGACGTGCTCTAGCCCTGTACTAGTGTTTGAGTATTTGTGCACTACGTCAGATTCGTATTATCGATTTTGATTGCCTCTCCCGATCAGAGGCTGAGTCTTTTCCGAGTCGAGGCGCATAATTGCTATTCACAACTGGCCGATCGGAAAGTTTTGACAGTTCTAATCGGAACAATAGTTGATTTAACTCACAAATTAGAGTAGTAGGAATCAGGTTCCTCTTCTCGCTCAGAAACCCAACTGATTTCTAGACTACCCGATTTGAATCAAAATTAGGACGCTGTTCTGAACCCGAGAAATGACGGTCCGAAATATCACGGCGATCATTTTATCTCTAGGCGCACAAACGATATCGAACTTAGTGCACTAACGAAATCCGAAGTGGGTCCGAGTTTTTTTGATTAGTATAGTTTCGAATTTGGAACGAATACGAATCGGATGCAGTATGCAAACGCGTTAAGTCTGTCTTTTTTGATGACGGAGTAGAATGACAGTTCTTTGCGCTAGTGTTGTCCGCTTCCACGAAACTAGTGACTGCAGTCGATAAATATTCTATCGACTATTGATTGAATGTTGGTTACGCTTAGATAAGCGATAAATAGCCCAACTTATTTCATATTAATTTAATTATTAATCTTCATCGTTCCGGAATTAGCACTGTCAATACATTGTAGTGTATTAACTCAAAAAGTGTAATTTTTCAGGCTTATGAAAAACGATTTGCTCCCTTCTCAGATTATTAAAATTTATGTATAGGTTAAAGTTTATTACAGACATCTAAACAGTATCTTACCTGCAAAATATATTTAAAAATAAAAGGGAAAATTTCACTTTTTTTTTATTACAGACTTTTTTGTCCAGAACCAGCGCACAGAAAGTTTGTCTCATTTTAAGTAAAGCAGGTGTTTTTTTAATTGTTTCTTACAATATTCTAACGACTGTATTATAGGCGTGTAGAAAATAACATTTCACGTTCAGCAGGAGTGTAATGTTGAATTTCGCATATTTTGAGTTACAACACTATTGTAATAGCAATGCGATATATGTACACAAATCGCACCCCTCATGGAAGAATGGCATAAGTGGAGCTACGTCAAAAACGTTTGTTGCTCTATTAGATACAGAAAAATATAACCCACATCCTCTCCATTTCTTGTAACTCTATCGACTAATATTGTAGATAGGTACAGGAATTGGTACATACATTGCCCCTGCAATGAAATTGTGACTTTGATTGTGATTGCAGAGTTTGTTCGTGTAATCGGAGACCTAATAAGGGTGTACGGTGACGTTTTGGGAGTATGGCTTGGGCCAAACTACAACATCGTACTTACCAATCCTGATGATCTAAAGGTAACGGAGAGCAGCCTTGCGAGCGCAATGTAATTTATTTATTTCGGACTTATAATAAATTATTTCCATATCTATTTTGATGCCAATGATGCAAGGTAACATTTTGAAGACAAAACTTATTTTGTCGACCTCCGTGATCGAGTGGCTTGCACACCGATTTTCATGGTGTCGCCATCTCTGAGGTCCCGGATTTTATCCCCGGCCGGGTCAATGTAGAAAAACTTTTCTATATTGCCTCAGGTCTGGGTGTTTGTGGTGCCGTCGTTGTTTCCGATTTCCATAACACCAGTGCTTTAGTTACTTAGCTACTTTGGATCGGAGCAACGTATGGGATGTTGTCTAATATTTATTTATGTTTATTTAATCAAATTCAAAAAAAGGACGAGGTTCTCAATTCGACTGTGTGTTTTTTTTGTATGCATATTAAATGCAATAACTTCGGCAAGGTAACCTATCACAAACTCGAATTTATTTTACCCGAAATAACGTTTATTCGAATTTTCATTACCCCGAAAACCGAATTATAACGAAACCGTTGTTCTTTCAGGATATGTTGGATGTGTATCGCAAAGACACGATTAGACTCGGTTAGGTTAGGTTGAGTTAGGTTTAAAAGAAAAAACATTTTCCTCTCAAAATTACTTTCGAGGTTATGAAAATACGAAAAACGTTATTTCTGGAAAATGTCATTTCGGACTTCTGATAGGCTCCGGCGATAATTTCTGAACCGATTTTGAGCATTCTTTTTTGTTGGAACAAAGGTACCTCGGTAGTGGTCCCATTTAAATTTGAAGAAAATATTCCACCTCTAAGAGTGGCAAGCTAGGAGATGAATCCGGTTTCGCTTTCAATAAAACTTGGCAAATAGATGTAATTCCACGCACTTTTGAGGTCAAGATTAACAAAACAAACAACTTTGACACGTTTGCAGATATTGCTTTCGAATCCAAAGACGAGTTTCAAAGGTCCTCAATATCAATTCATGGCAGAAATAATTGGAAGCGGCATCTTGAGTGGATCAGGTGACTACAATTTTTTTACCTACTTATTAGAAGATTTCTAATTCTAGATAGAATTTCAAGAACTTCCGCAGATTCTGTACTTTGTTATCACTTTTAAATAGAACAAACATTACTGAGAAATATTTAAAAAAGGCTTGTCATTTTTGTACATTTACCTACAGGTTTTAGAGGTGAGACGATTGTTAAAATTGTCGAAAAGTATGTCTGTCAACAAATACATGATTTTTATAAAAAACACGAAGTAATATACCGAAATCAGTTCGGTTTTCAAAAGGGGAAAGGTACTAATGATCTGTTACATAAATTCACAGATGAGGTCAATGAATACATGAACGTGAGGAAACATGTATTAGTCTTGTTCATTGATTTTTCGCGATCATTTGATACCCTAGATCACACGCAATTGGTTGAGAAGTTGGATAGTTGTGGGGTGCGTGGGCCGATTCTTGAGTGGTGTAGGAACTATCTTCAAGAGAGGAAGTTCACTGTAAAAATAGGTGACACATACAGTCATCCAATATCTGTGACTGAGGGCACCGCTCAAGGATCTGTGCTAGGGCCTCTTCACTTCCTATCTTACGTGAACGAAATGCATTATTGTATTAAACATTGCTCGTGTTACCAATTCGCAGATGACACATGTTTTGTCACCGCCGACAAAGACCCTCATATAGCGCGCGATCAGCTTCAGTCGGATTTCAACGTCCTCTTAAAATGGTGCCACGATGCGGGTTTGGTTTTGAACACCTCTAAGACCAAACTACTAATAATAAAATCGCCTTACATTAAATCCACAGATATAAAAAGCATCGTGGCACATAATCATAATTGTCTTCACTACCCAAAAACTGGTAGCTGCGAGTGCCCTTGCATAGATGTTGTAAATGGCCAGACTTATCTCGGTTTACAAATAGGTCATAACTTTAATTGGAGTAGCGATATAGAATATATTTGTAATAAACTGAGGCAATTTTTGGCTAATGTGATAATATTAAAGAAAAGAATCCCCTTTAAATTCAAACTAATGCTTTACAACTCGTTAGCAGAATCGTATATTCAGTATGGTTTATGTAGCTACGGTCATGCCTTTGACTCATACTTAAATAAAATATATAACCTACAAGTTAATATTCTAAGACACATTGTATCAAATAAAATCCGACTTCAAATGAAGGATAATGATATTGGTATTTTTAAACATTGTAGAATCTTACCTGTTTATACCCAATTCAAGTATATGTTTTTAAAATCTATGTTTTTAACAACGATCTTAAACAAGTAATAAATCATGTGTACGCGAGCGATGGCTGAGGACCGGTCGCTAACGAGTCGCGCGAATAATGTGTACGGCGAAAGAACATCTACCTACCTTCTTCCCCGACTTATTAATAAGTTACCACTGGAACTACGAAATACCTTAACAACCATTAATATAAAACATAAACTTAAAGATTACTTTGTACAAAACTTAAAAAAATATGATGAACATTTAATATAATAAGATGAATGTATTTACCCAATCCTATTAATTTTAGTAACATATATATTATTGATTATTTATATAAATTACTTAAATATTTACACTTACTATAAGCTTCTGCTAGCATGTTCAAATTTGTATTGTAGATACAGGTCGCATTATGACAAACCCTAGTGGTTTAAAATGCGATTAGAAACATATTTGTGTATTTTGTCCTTTATACAATAAATAAAAACAAAAAAAAAACAAAAGAGGACAAATTCTGGCATGGAAGAAATAAATGTTTATTGTCTCTTATCAGGTCCAACATGGCGAAAACATAGAAAAATTGCAACACCGAATTACGGAAAAAAGGCCATTGAAAGCTACAGCAACATATTCAATAATGAGGTCGACTTATTGTTGCAAAGATATAGAAAGAAAACTGGACAAATTTTTGATATATACGAGGACATTGTACAAACAACCAGTTATTGTGTCTGTCGTAAGTACAGTGTGCTAGAGAAAGAATATACGTATATTTAGACTATTGTATGTTTTTTCTGTGTATAGTAGTAATATTCATGGTTACCACACTGTTATCGCATTGCGATTTGGTAGTACGGTAGGAACTTCAAAAATGCCCACCTTACCACCACTTAGTGGTACGATACGTCCCACAGGTTACGATAAATGCGTTCATTTGGGCAAACACAAACTAAAGTTAATATCGCACACAGAGTGTAATAAGGCCACAGATGTGGATGTTTTGCAGATGCAAAATTTCAATTTTTCACAAGAGACATTTAAAGATTGTACGAACAAAATTAGTTGATAACTTTTTTATGTAACTTGAGCAGTAATGTGAGCATTGCTGCGTTCCGGTTTTGAAGGGTAAGGGTCCTGGTGAAAGTGCACATGGGACCTGTCAACTTATGTCTCAGGGTAATCCTGAGATCCTTGCGATTTAAAGCTCTGAGTGGCGATGCAACTGCTACGAACAGACGTGTCACTTAACCCTAGGCACACGACTTGCCCGTCCTGGCACTGCAAATGCTATTAACAGACGTGTCGCTTCACCCCAGACACACGACTTGCCTGTCCTGGCACTGCAACTGCTATGAACAGACGTGTCACTTAACCCCAAGCACACGACCAATGTACGCTAGCGCTCTGTGGAAGAGTTACACTCAGTGCTCTCGGAATGATCTGTGCGTGCAATACAACAACGCCTTCAGGACGCTGTTGGGGCTGTCACGTTTCTGCAGGGCCTCAGCCATGTTCACTGATGCGCGCGTAGATAGTTTTAAGGCTGTTGTACGTAAAAAGTTTACATCGCTACTGAAGAGAACACGTGACAGCCCCAATAGCCTCCTGAAGACAGTTGCTGACAGGAATAAGTGCCCAATTATGCGGCACTTAATATATAATACAAAGTCCCTGGTAAAATATAAGTACTAATATAGTTTTAAGTCTGTACCTATTAACATTTGATTGGATCTCAGTTGTCTCAATAAATAAAATTGTATTATTATTATATAACCCCAGGCACACGACTTGCCCGACCTATCAATTGGTACCATAAAAAAAATAAAAAGAGAGTTCTAACATTTTTGTTTCGTGTAGTTCGTATTATTTTTATGACTTTCGTGTGATAAAATTTCTCTTTACGTTTGATCTCATGTGGCTTTACTATAACACAAAGTATACAACAAAATTCAATGCATCTGCCTCTTTCGTTATTGATAATAAAAGGCCAGAAAATTTAACGTTAGTTTAGAGAGTCAGTTTTCTCATCTTATAAACTTACAAATGCAAGGATTCTAAAAGTATGAAGTACGCGTTTAAAAATTTCGTGGTCACCAACATTCGTTACTTTACACGAACAACTAAGTACAAAAGAGTAAATTTACGTAAAAAGAGCATTTCATTATTCATTCTGACAAATCTTAATTCAAATGGTACGATTATTACAATGAACGTTGGATTTTTTTTTCAGGCACACTGATGGGACTGACAAAGGAAGAAACTATGAATCTCCCTCACTTACAAGACATTATTGCCGAAACTCCGAAGTAAGTCGCGTAACAATTTATCCGACAACGTCGCCTTACTTTCTCAAACTCTTATCTTAAAGCACAAAGTTACTGAAATGCAAAAAATGGATTGTACGAGTATATACAAATTTTGCAGGCTGAGATCACATCATATTTCCGTATCATTTCAGTATCACACACTGGCTTTTACCTATTCCTAAAGCAATGCATCCAAATTAACACCCTTGATAAGAAATTTAAAATAAATGGAAAGTTTTGATATCTCCTGAATAATCTCTCTTTATAAGATACGTGTTTGAGTACGTAATGCGTCGAATATCTATTAAATAAAAAATGAATAAGCATTTAGTAACAAAATGGAACAATCCTAGATTTTGTCTAGTAATATCGAAACCTCAAGTTTTCACGCCGAACAATAGATTATAACAATGAATACGTACAATCAAAATATCATATGTTCAGTAATAACACAACATTGTTCAAATCAAATATCGTTCATTCATTCTTTCACATAATGCCCAAATTATTACAAACCTACGTCCCAGGATTCGGTCGAACCATGATCGAACCTCATTTTAATTTTATTCAGAACTTAGAATTACTACGTTATATACTTCTATATTTAATACATAATAGTGTAGTGTATTTATATATGTTTAATTAACCGATTTCAAAAATGGAGGAGTTTCTCAATTGGACACTTTTTTTTGTATATGTTACTCGATTACTCTGGTTTTTGTGAACCGATTTTGATGATTATTTTTTGTAGGAAAGGGGGTACCTCAGTATTGGTCCCATTTAAATTTGAAGAAAATATTCCACCTCTAAAGGTGGCAAATTGGCACTTTCCGGTAACCAATAATTGTTAACTTTTTAGTTTCAGTTTGTATTACATATAAAAGCAAATTTTGAAGTCGGTTCCTTTTTTTTATTAAAAATTATGTATTATTATGTACGTATACATCATGTATTATTTTATTATTAATATATCGGTGGGTCCTAAGTGTAAGGGTCAAACTATCAATTTGATAATTTTCACTTTTTTGTGGGAAATGCTTCATTTCATTATAATCTACAAGGTAGTGTTAAAACAAAATCAAACATATTCAAGGAAACCTCGAAATACAAGGAAATCTTGAAAATATACCAGATTGAAAGTTTGGAAGCCTTTTGGAAATTGTGATTTTGCGCTTTGGCCATTATACATAGGACCCATCGATATATGTACGTGCGTAGCATATCTATCACAAACTCGAATTTTTTTTTTCGAAGTAACGTTTGTTCGAATTTTTATTATCCCGAAAACAGAATTATAACGAAACCGTTGTTCTTTCAGGATATGTTGGAAGTTTATCGCAAAGACACGATTAGGTTCGGTTAGGTTAGGTTAAGTTAGGTTTAAAAGAAAAAACATTTTCCTCTCAAAATTACTTTCGACGTTATGAAAATTCGAGCAAACTTTATTTCTGGAAAATGTCATTTCTGACTTCTGATAGGTAACCATGTGTATTAATTATATATTAATAGTCACGAGCTATTTATTTTATTTCAAATGTTCTTTTTCTTTCATTCCTTCTGGCATGATTATTTCATTCAATTTTGTTCATTCTTTATTTTTGTCTTTATTGTTAGTATTCTACACACATTGTCAGTAATGATTTTAGTGTATATCTGTAATTGGCGTATCCAGAAGGCACTAAATGTTTATTAAGGCTATTGTTATCCCAAATAAAATAAAATAATTTTTTTTCGCAGAATCTACGATCTCGTGTTCGACAGAATAACAAAATGGTACCTGCAAGTATATGCTGTCTTTCGCCTGTCAAAAAACTATGGTACACAAAAGAACTTTACAACCAAAATTAAAATCTTTAGCAAAACAGTACTACAGCACAGACAAGAGCATATGAAAACTTTGGAAGTGGAAAACAAAATTGATTTAATGACCTCCGAAGACGACAACGTGAAAAACACTCAGCTCAGTGTTATTGACCGATTTATTTTGTCCAAAGAACTGGACGGCGAAGAACTTCTGAATGAGACTTTCACTATATTTACATCAGTAAGTTTTTTCTGATTTCACAAATTCCAAAATAAAATGATTATTGTCGACATTAAACCGGTCGAAAAAAGTTTTGCGTGGCATAGTGCGTTTCACATTGGGGCAATTAGAATGGAAATCGAAATGGGCAATGTTTTTTTGACGCAGTTATTGCATGGACATAATGCTTTTTCTGACCAGCTTTAGCTGAACTTGCGTTGATAAGTATGAAAGATCCCTCTTTTTTAAGAGGGGGAAATGCTTTATACATACCCTTGAGCTCGAGGAGGCTCAAGGGTTATGTGGGACTAACCCCCTGATTGGGGGAATACCCACTAAAACCCACTCGGCTTACTCTCTAGGCCAGGTGTTGTGAGATTCCGAAGATTCACAACAACGACGCCCTTAGCCGCCCCGGTTTTCATCAGGTTTCCCGATCTAGAGAATGGAGGATCGGCTCGCTTGAACCCCCTCCCAGATAAATGAGACCGTGCAATGCGGGCAGGGAAAACGAAGGGAAACATCTCTTGTCCGCAGGCCCCAAGTTCGAAAAATCCCTACAAGGCAGATGCCTTACAGAAAAACGAGATTTAAGTGGCTTCTAGCTATAAAAGTTTATTTTATAATTCACGCTAAATAAAACTTCAAAAGATATTTCTAAACGTAGAAGAAGATAATGAGCCTTCGAAATTATATTTTTCCAATGATTCGGGAATTTTTTCGGAAAAATTTCCACTCTATCAATTTTTTTGGAAAATTACTCGACAGTAAGTGCAAAGCGCATTCATTGCGTTTTAAGCTACCGTCCACAAAGAGCGGCAGCGGCGTAAGGCGCAGTCCGGGATCGGGGCGTTAGCGGGATTGCACCTTGTAATATTTTTTACACCTCTTGAGTGTGTGAGTTTTATTAAGTTTCAGTATTAATTCGATCGAAATTAAATTTCGTGTTGCTCCTGTAACGCGAATAAAAGCAGATTTTTCTTGCACACTATCCGACAGCGATACGTGCTTTCTTTAAAATCTAAGTAGAAAGTGAAACGTGGTTGCTTGTGCGTATCACACCGGCCCAGCCGCCGCCGCGCCGCCGTCGGCGCTGTCCCGCTTTACCGCGTCTGTGTGGCCTGAACTTATAAGCCGCGCTGCTACGTATGTAAGCACCGACCAACTCAGTTACCAACTACTACAAAAATGTCAATAAATTTCTCAAAATGGTGGAAATAACAGTTTATACCTTTGTACGCGCGTAGGTTTCAAAGTAAAGGCAAAATACAAGATGACTTGAATATATGAGTGTAAGGTTATTTCAGAGTCAAGAGGCATCGGCGAAAATAACATCGTTCTTATTGCTGATGATGGCTTTTCATCCAGATTGTCAGGTAAATATACTCATGAAACTAAACAGCCTTAGATATTTATGCCTTAGAGTCAATTTACATTGCTGCGAAAACTAATGGAAGCTAATTTTGTGACTATGGCACATCGAGTATTAGTTATATACTCGATGCTATGGCGTAATGAACATTACGTCAATTATGTAGCGTATAAAATCGATACAATAAATAAATAAATAAAGTAGACGTGTGAATTTCCGAAATTGCACGAGAATTCTCTGGAAGATGCGCGAACTTGTTTTTGAGAGCTCCTTGTGAAAGAGTTCGTCCAGGGAAGTACTGCCACCTTACCTATTTCTGCCGTCAATCAGTTATGTAAACATAACTGCGTTCCGGTTTGGAAGGGTAAGGGTGCTGGTGAAATTACAGGCACATGGGACTACTTGTCACCTTATGCCTCAGGGGATGGGCGCAGTGGCGGTGCCCCTAAGATCTTTGCGTTTTGTGTGGCACTGCAACAGTTATGGACTTGTTCGTCCCGTCACTTGGTATTATAAAAAAAAGTTTGTACGTTACACAATTGAAATAAAGTTCATTTTGCTATGATTACAAAAATTCAACAATCGTGTAAGAACTACACTCTCTCACAAATGAATATTTCAGGACAAACTTTACTATGAAATTAAAACAGTAATCGGGGACGAAGATCGCCCAGTTACAAACGAAGACTTGAAGCAAATGCCTTACTTGGACATGGCGTTCAAAGAAGTTCTACGGCTGTTTCCGATTGGGGCCATGTTACAGAGGAGCATACACGAGGATATGGCTTTAAGTAAGATCTTTAGATGGTTTTACTTATTTGTAATTATGAACACAAAGATTCAACACAAAGAAAAAATCCTTCAATCTGACAGAAGTGTGTGAGTTGAGTGAAGAAAAACTTTCATAAATATCTCACAGATGGTGCTACGGCAAAAAATCCGTAATAAAAAATGAATCCAGTTTTTAGATTTTACGCGATTATTACACATAGGAAATGAAACTATTTTTCCGGATTTAAATCGCGTATATTTGTTTTTTCAAACCGAAAGGTTTGTTTGAAAAACAAATATACGTGATTTAAACCCGGAAAAATAGTTTCATTTCCTATAAAATTAATCCGTTAAAACCAAAAACAAAGTCCTGTTGCGTTAGTTGCATAGAAAAGTTCATAAAGTCTGCTGACTCGATCGTAGCTCGGTTGACGCTCTACGCCGCCTTGTTACGTCACAGACGCGGATTCGTGTCTTTTTTTAATATAAATATAAGTGCGCATTTGATCTTCTTTTTTTTTTTTATACATGACAGGCAAATGACTCCACTCCACCTGATGTTAAGTGGAAAGTGGTATCCAAACGCGAAGGAACCTAGTGCAGCGATGAAACCCTGATGGAAAGTGCACATCTAAATAATGCCTAATCACTCTCACCTTGAAAAGGTCCAAGTTATAACGTTCAGGGAACAAGTCTGCAGGCAGGGAATTCCACTTCGTAGCCGTTCGGCGTATGAATGTGTCCTGTCAGATCGAAGGAATCATTCTTTGTGTTCGATCTTTGTATTAAACGAATTAGCGCCGTAATTTACAAACAAAAAAAAACAAAAAATAAATGTATATCATGTTTATAAAACATAGCATTCATTACAATCAATATAGTTTTTTTTTCTTTTGACTGGATACAAAAGTCACAAAACCTACCTTGATTTTACAGGTACGAGCATCCTTCCAGGCGGCAGCTCTGTAGTGATACCAATATATCACCTGCATCGCGATCCTCGCTTCTGGGACAACCCAGACGATTTTGACCCTGAGAGGTTCAACCCTGAAAATATAAATAAACGTCATCCTTACTGCTATATCCCTTTTAGTTTGGGATCTATGGATTGTTTAGGTGAGAATTTAAAAACCAACAGTATTAAAAAGTTTACAGGTTTCTCGTAGGTGGCGCTACGACAAGAACGCCGTTAAACCCAATAACAAACATCTGCAACAAGCAGATCGAGAAATTTGTGAGGTCTGATTATCTGTTTCGTAGCGTAGTTGGGAGAGCGGTAGCCCCGGTTTGGCGACGTCGGTGATTCGAATCCAGCTGGATCGAAGGAATTTTTCTTTGCGTTAATGAAAAATATATTAATATTATGATAGTAAAAACCGAATGATATTCAATAAAACAAAAATAGGTATTAAAAGGTCACCTGCCGTAACGTATCGGCACCACACCACCGCCTTGCCCCATAGTAGAGAAAACCTGACTTAAAGTTATACGACCTACAGTGCTTATATTTTAAAGACGCTACCATGTGGTAGGCACGTAATTTCAGCAAAATGGCAGCTTTACCATTCCCAAAATAGTTTTGTTTGCAAGCAGGGCAATTGTAATTATTACGTTGACTCTACTTGTAAATACCTTTTGATTGTAATATGAAGCGATCTAGCCCTTAAACGTGATTGGTTACTTGCACGTAAAAATTTTGGAATTTTATGGACATCTTCCTTCTCCAGCACCTAAAAACACGCGATGAAACTTTAAAGTCATTATAACACGTGAGATATGGAATTATACATACAAACTCTAACAAAAGTCTTCGAGACGGTAAATCGTCGATTTTGCTTATAGTACACCGTCACCATGATGTTCACCAATTTTATATAGATATTTAAACTATAAGCACCATCTCATCTGATGGAAAGTGACGATGAGGTCGACGATGTAGCATGCACACCTAAATAATGCCTATTCACTCTCGCCTTGAAAAGGTCCAAGTTATGGCTTTCGGAGAATAAGTCCGCAGGTAGGGAATTCCAATCTCTAGCCGCTCACCATATAAATGTGAAAGCGAAACGCTTCGTGCGAGTCCTGGGAATATCCACGGCATCGGGGTGGAGTCCCGCCCACGTCTAGTCCTCCGATGATGGAAAGGGGAAGGGGGAATCCAATTATGCAATTCCATCGCACACTTTCCGTGATATATCCTGTAGAATACCGATAAGCAGGAACTTTACGGCGGTGTTCAAGGATCTGCAGCTTCGCCTCACCTAATTCCGAGTCACCTAAGCCTTTTGGCATGCTTGTCGATTCAATCCAATTTGGCTAGTTGGTATTTAGCAGAGTCATCCCATGAGTGGCAGCAGTACTCGATACCCGACCGGACTTGTGCTCGGTACAGTTGAAGCAACTGTCCCGGTGTGAAGTGACGCCTTACCTCGGAAAGGATACCAAGCTTCCTGGCTGCATTTTTGGCCATGGACTCAATGTATCTAACGAAGTTCAGATTGGACGACAAGTTCATTCCAAGTACTGGAGACGGTCGGCTATCGGTATGGATATATCACGAAAAGTCGGAGTCAGGTGAAAGGGACTCCGTATTGTGGGGAATAGATACGTCTGCGTTTTGGTAGCAATAAATTTGACAAGATTGTCACTGCCCCAATCGGAGACTGCCTTACTAACTATCAATACGTTTTCCAATCAATAGGTATCTACTCTAATTTGAGGCAAGGTGGTACTGGCCTCAGCACAATAAATAACCTCAATAATTATATCGTAGAACAGCTAAGTTCAGACGAGTCACCGGAACAGAAGCGAGAAAAACTTTACTGTGTTGCTACGTCAAATGGTTTAGATATTTACAATTAAATAACGATCTTACAAAACATACAAGGAATTGCCTAAGTAATGTGCTAATTTCTTACGTGATAAGATATATACTTTATCCCATCATATAAAATCATTAATATAGTCGTTATTTAACTAGGTACTTAGAGACTATAGTAGAGTTGCCAAACGGTGTAGGGGAGAGCGGGGTTGAACGTTCCGTTTTTCAAATAAGTAGAAGTTTTATACTGAAAATAAAGGATTTGATTTTCAATTTTGGATTTGATTTTGAATATTGAACAAATGTTTATCGCTTATTGTAATAGTATAGTCACTTCTACTAATATCGCAAATTTTTGACAAATTTCGGAGCGGAACTTTCATCCCCGCTTTGGGACGCGTTGTCTCCGCCTTTGAGGCAAATTGTTCCGCCTAAATTATCACAGGATAACAAGGATTTTCTTAAATAAAACCACCTTTTTTATAATTGTATGTGTGTAATGTTTATATTATGCACAACTAACTTAAAAAAAACTACATTCTGATTCATCAGTAATATTATTCATAGCTCATTTCTTATGTGAATCACAGTTGAGACACACATAAGTGACTCTATCATCTTGTCTAAATATTTGACATTAGCCCCTTTGTAGTTTCGTATCCTTAAAACAAAGAAAAATGGTCATAAGAATTTTAAGTATGATTGCAGGTCAATTGGGGAAGTTGTTCATAGGAACAACCAGCCCCTCGAGGGAGGAACTTATAGCCCCAAATTACATTTTTATACGAAGACTGACATACCGGCAAAGTAATAGAATCAATGAAAAAAATACTCGAACTCTAAGATTCCTTACTAATGTCACTACAATTTAGAAAAGTTACGTATGATTCGGCCCATAATAAACAAAGACAGACCAAAAAATTTAAACAAGAAAAAATGTAGTTACGTGATGTTTTGACAGCTCCACTCACATAGCCACACTTCCGTCGTCGCCGGAGTAACTGAAATGGCTGCCGAGAATGCGCATCACCTGACACTTTAACAAAGCGCTTCACATGTATTGCTATATATTTTTCTTGCAAAGTCCCAGCCCCGGTCTCCCCTACTTGTAAATAACAAATAAATTTATTTATAATTTCGTCTTTCCAGGTCGCTACTTTGGTACCAAACTTATAAAAACGATATGTGTTCGAGTATTGCGGGAGTTCAAGATCACCACCATGCAAAGCTACGAAGATCTCAAGGTGGCTATTGCCATATCCACAGTTGCAATCGACGGGTATCCCGCTAAGTTGACACGTAGGATTTAGTAAAAATCATGAGTAGCAATTTTTGTGGGTCATGTCCCACTACGTCGAGCCTATCATTTTATTAGTTCCTTCTAAACCCATTCCTATCTTAAAATGGCCTGTGCCTAAAAACTAAAATATACATATAGGGTCCCGTAACGTCGAACCACGTATCCACTGTCCTATTCGGTGCATTAGTAAAAGGTGAACACTGATTGTATTTCCGTATCTCCAACCATTCTTTTCAGCCCTATTTGATTCTTTCTCTGATCTTTTCTAGAATTTTTTTTTACTACATCAAGAGAATGAATCCTTGAAATTATAACCTATAAACTATGTCAGTAAGAATCAATTAACATTTTTTTTTCAATGATAACCAGTGACGGGACGAACAAGTCGTGCGTCTGGTGGTAAGCGACACGCATGTCCATAGCAGCAGCTTGATTTTGGTTGCCTCTCCCGAACGGAAACTGCGTCTTTTTCGAGTAGATGCGCATAATTGCGATTCACAACTGGCAGTACTACTCAGAGTTTTAAAACACAAAGGTCTATAGCACCGCCCGCCACTGCGCCCGTCACCCTGAGACAAGTTGATAAGTTCCATATACCTGTAATTGCACCAAAACATTACCGCAGTACGAAATGGAATCGAATTTTTGTAATGATTTAGATTTAGATTTATTTTATTATCTTGTAAACTTTACATTATTATATACAATATATTGTATTACAAGAATCGTTACAAATAGTAATAAATGTTACATTTCAAAAAATTACAAATATCCAGTACAAGTTTTGTACTACGTAATTTTAACATAGTCAATGTAGTTATGTGAAATAGTGTAGGAACATATTAAATAATATAATAATAATTATGTCAATATAATGATTGTATGCATAAAGTTAATACGTATATGTATGTAATGTCGTTACACACAAGTTAATGAACTTTATGTCCATTATTTAACGTACAAATTATATGCGACACGGTAGCTGCTGGATGTCTCAAGAATACGCGAAAATTCCAGAAAACATGCGACTTGTTTTTTTATTTGTATCCAGTTTGTATGTTACACAATTGATACAAAGTTCATCACGCTATTCTTGCAAATATTCGCATCCATTCGTTTCGCGGTATTGTAAACAGAACCTAAATGTGACAACTTAAGCAACGGATAAAATTCGGTATATTCATAATTGGATGGTGATTGGCAATAATGTGTCACCAGTGGCGTAGCGTGGGCTTGGAAAACAATATCCTGAACAACACAAAGGTGGCGACCGGCGGCAGGCTAATACAGCAAACTTAACTATCAAATTTTTTGCAGCAGCAGGCTCCTTATAAAAGAGTTCGTCTAAAGAAGTACTGGCACCTTATCTATTTCTACTGCCAAGCATTACTGCATTGCGGTTTAGAAGGGCAAGGGTGTTGGTGAAATTACAGGCACTTGGGACTTGTCACCCTGTGACGGGCGCAGTGGCAGTACCGCTCGGATCTTTCCGATTTATAGCTCTGAGTGCTATGTACAGTTATGGACAGGCGTGAAGCTTAAACTTAAAATATACAATCAAGCCGAGCCTGCCCGAACGATCTACTTTTGTAATCGCGAAAATAGAGAGAATAACAATTTTAAGGTTGGCCCCGGGCGCGGCAGAAATCAACACTACGCCACTGCGTGTCAACGAACATAATCAATCAACAAAAATGTCCTCCTCCCATCCTTCTAATTTGTGATTTAAATCAACTATTGTTCTGATTAGAAATGTCAAAAGTTTCCTATCGGCCAGTTATGATGCGCAATTATGCGCCTCGACTCGGAAAAAACGCAGTTTCCGATCGGGAGAGGCAATCAAAATCAAGCTGCTGGTGTCATTCTCGCGAAACTACGATCATATTGGTTAACAGGTTATTGCTTATTAGCGTCCAAACACTACCATTGATGAAAGAGGTCAAGATTGCAATAATTGCCAGCAGAAGCACTTTCGTAATATTTCAACTTGTGTAACTCCAACTATCAATTGCTGGTGCCCGCGAAGTATAACTAGGTGGTGCGTGCGTAGAATAAGTAGGTACCTACTACGACTTACTTGATAAATGATTGGTTCTCTATACATAGTTTCATCCCCTGTTTCACCCTCTATACAGGGTTATTTGTAAAATAATAAATTTAATAATATCGCACTGCTATTAAAATGGTGTTGTAATTCAAAATATGTGAAATTTAATATTATATCATTATTGAACGTAAAATTTGGTTATCTACGTCAAAAAATACCGTCGTTAGAATATTGTAAGAAACAATCAAAATATCTACTTAACTCAAAATTAGACACACTTTATGTGAGCTAGTTCTGGCCAAAATCATCCATATTCAAAAATATGATTTTTTTTATTCTTTTTTGTTTTAGTTTTCTTTAATATTTGTTAATTTTTTATGTCTATAATGACATACATACATTGTAATTATTTTTTGCGAGAAGTGAGTAATTCGTTTTTCATTCAATCTGAGAAAGTCCACTTTTTGAGTTAATACACTATTATACTTTCATACAAAAATAAATAGATTTAAATAGATCGCTCTAAACGGTAATGACTCTGTGCATGACGGGTGGAGGGTTGTCAGAGGATGCTTGCACGTTTGAACTTATTCTACCAAATACAGATTTAAGAAGTGTCAAATGGTACAACAGAAACTTAGTTTATTTTTGGCAAATTATTATATTTTGTCAAAGGTCATGGAACAAAAGTTGTTGTTTAAAATGTTAGTAATAATTCATCCATGCGAGATTATTTGTATCCCCGTAAGTAACCCCGTATTTTAGTCTAGGTCTTCTCGTGGGTCGCGTCTATCTCTGTACCAAAATTCATCAAATCTAGTTAAGCGGTTTAGGCATGAAAACGTAACAAACAGTTACTTTCGCATTTTATAATATTTGTTTGGATGACGCAACTACCGCCTGTTCGGCGCGTAAACGCCTATACTTCGCTAGGGGCGTAGGGTTGTCATATTACTATTTTAATTGGACGTAGTTAAACAAAAAAGATCCAATCCACATATTATCAAAAAATGAGTTATATGTACCGAACGATTCCTAAAGGCTAACCTCTTAGATCAGCAAAAAAAATCAAACATATAAACAAAAATAAATATCTCTGGAGTTACATGACATTGTAAGTTTTGAAAATAAAACAACAAGTGAGAAACATTTTTAAACTTCAAACTGCCATATCTCGAAAGTGACAATGGATGTGCATTGGATCCTTTTTGTTTAACTACGTCCAACTGTACCTACATAATTTAACAAAAAATAAAGTTTTCATCACAATATTCTCGTGCTTTATTGAAATAACCTTTGTCAAATGCAGTATTCATGTATTGATATTTTTATACCAGCATCGCGGATTTCCAATTTTTTTTATACAGTTACGGGACGAACAAGTCGTGCGCCTGGTGGAAAGTGACACGCCTGTCCAGAACCGTTGCAGTACCACTCGGAGCTTCAAAATAGCAAAAATCTGCGTCATCCTGAGACTGCGCCCGTTATCCTTCAAAATAGGAACGCAGTAATGCTAACATTACTGCTTGGCGGCAGAAATAGGTAAGGTGGCAGTACTTTCACAACGAGCTCTACTGCTACTGAAAAGTGTGGGAGTACGATCGAAGTAGATGTTAAATGCTCAACAATCGTGAATTTGAGGCACTCTTGTTCAGACACAACAATAAACGTCTACTGTTTGATGTCAGTTTCTGAACACCGAAGGAACTTTTCAATTCTCTAATGAATAACGCGTGTGACAACCCGCGCTACGCAACGTGAACGCACCGCGAGATTACGCGAGTCTGTGTACCGAACACACGATGCAAATTGTGTGGAGTTACCATGCTTATTATACCACAACTGAAAGTTATTTTAATGCCTTGGATTACCACATAAGGATATTTGAAATTAAATAACCATATTTTTAATAATGCATTTTATTAAACATTATAAAATTATTTACACCTTAACTACAATCGCCATCCTCGACTTTATAAGAAGAGTAGGTCCTATTCTGTCTATATTTAGAACTAATTGTATCAGTATTCAAAGCTATATTCAAAATAAAAAATCGCGATAGGCTGATTTCAAAGCCACAGTCAAGCTTACCCATATGGCAATTTAGTCCCCAAATATCATGTCGTAAGTCAACCCTATAAATTCTGCCTTGCATTTATTCCCGTAAAATCGATGTACTCAATAAAAACAAAGTAGCGCACTTAAACGATAAGCCAAACGAGGCGGGAATAATTGCAATTCCAGATTCACAGGTTCGAAGTGAAGATAATATTTAGGTACATCATTAATCTGGGATTCAAAATTAACACAGCCTTATTACTGACAAGTATACTAAAATTGCACTAAGTTCAACATTTTCATCAGATTCTAACATTTAAAATTGTGGTCTCTCACGGTCTGGATTTCACAGATCCCTTCGCACAGCCACACACCGGCCCCGCATTTTTTATATTAATAATTAACGATTATAGAATGACAATTTATCGCCGTGCACCAGTCCCTCCAATTTATTGCTATACATATTGATCTATGCACCTCTGCGGACGCATGTGTTATCAACTTATCATGGACGATCCAGATCCATCGGTGCGTGAGTCCGAGTACGTGTGAAGTGATCAATAAAATTACAAACCGTATGAGGCCGCCTTAATAATTGTAAAAAAAAATACCCACACACCACGTAGATTTTAATGGGTAGATAATGCATTAATACGTTAATATATACGATATTAGCGTATTAAAACATGTATGTGGCCTCGAGAATACGCACAAATGTCTAGTCACGTTACTTTTGATATAAATGAAAGTATCCATTACATACAATTTGTAGTCGATCTATGTACACACCTATGTATATACCTTGTTCCGTTGCACTGGAGGCAATTTTCGAACAAAAATGTGTAGTCTGGTTTCCCGTTGTCCGTACATAATGAAGCTATTTGATTCGCTCGCAACATTGAGGT